AGGTTGTTGTTGTTGTTGCAGCGGCGACATTGATAGAGTTTAAGGGAAAAGGAAGAGAGGAGAAGAGAGAAAGAATGATGAAAGAGAAAAGATCTAAGAGTTGAGAGAATGAGAAGAGAAGTGTATAGAAATTGAAAAGGTGACGATACGTGGGAGTATTGGGTTTGATTGAAGTTGTATGAATTTCATTGGTTTATTAAGAGACAAAACTATCATTTTTGCTTTGGAAATTATTTGAAAGGGAAGGACAATATAGAAAGTGTGCTAGCCTTATATTTTAGTGGTTAGGTAGTAATCATCGCTTCAAAAATTTGAAAAACTACAATGTTATTACATTGATTATATATGATATGTTGAATTAGATACTTCTACTAACCAAATCTAACTGCCCTTACAACTAACTAAGTTACAAAGTACACCATTAAGAAAAACTTACAAAACTAAAACTTATAAATTTGAAAAGGACAAGGATGTGACAAAAATATCCCAACTGTCATACCCAGCCCAATTCTAATGGAGAAAATCAATTTAACTAGATATTGGCGCCGAAAAAACTTGATTTTTAATCGAGACACAGACGGAGGGGGGGTGTGGGATGTTCATACCCAAGTATAGAAAAAAATTAATATATATATTTTCAAATACAGATTAAATAAAAAAGATTTACTAATGAGAATTATTATTAAAATGATAAAATATTTAAATTAATTATTAAATTAATCTATTTTATTCTTTAAAAATTACAATTTCAAAAAATAAAAATAATAGTAATAAAATAATTTAATAATAAAACTGCGATACCTTATGCCAGTATAATTGTAAGTGTATGCTCTAGTGGATTACTAAATCCACCGCACCGAGTACAATTGTAAGCAAGTTCAACAGGGATTCTGAAAGTAGTTTTAAAAGTATTTGATAATTTCATTTTAGCCAACTTAATTTCATATTGTAGCCAAACATATTCTTAACTCCTGACATATATTGGTAGTTGAATATATTGTAGCCAAACATTTCCTTAGGAATTTGTTTGATGGGTTTCTTGCTTTTTTTTTTACATCTATGTATAAAAATAATAAGAGCACTACTAACCATTTAACAGTAGTAACATTAGATTTACAATTTTCTCATGACTAGGAGCCAAGAGGAACGCCAAATTGCAAAGACATGATTTCCTATCTACAACTACAACTTCAAATCAACTACGGTAATTTTAGTCAAATTTCAAACGAAAAATCACAACTACATATTCTATTCAAACCGAAATTGTACAAGAGTTCATTTTTAAGTTTGGAAAATTTCTATATTTGAAATTGAAACACCTATAAGATTCCACACAAATAATTAACCAAAATTTCAAAATGTAAACAACCTTGTTGATATAAGAGATAAATCAAAGATGCATATTAGTCCCTTCATTCTAGATTAGCAGAGAAAAACACAAAAAAAACGCAGGTTCGTCCATAATCGATTCATCATAAACAAAAGCCAAAATGTATAACTAGAAATTAAACAGAAGCGAATATTCAAAACCTAAGCTTGGTGAAAAACCACCTGTTCTTCCCGGTTTTGAACCTCTCTTCAAACCGCTTCTTAGTCTCCTTCAACGCCGTCACCTTCTTATCCTTCGATTGAAGAACATCAGGAACAACCGCATCCTTCAGATCCACATCCAGAGTATAACGAGTAGGCATCAGATGTTGATAATTCACCAACTTCACGAACGCCTTAACCCTAGATTTCTTCGCCGTCTTCTTCGCCGAGTCCTTTTTTATCACTTTACTAGGGTACTTCTTGATTCCAGCAACGAGACAGTGACCGTAAGGCTTCTCGCGGGTGCCGTCGTCGAAGGTCCTGACAATAACGGCTTTTTTGCCGGCATAGCGCCCTTGCAAGAGAATCACCGCCTTGTTAGTTTTGAGAAACTTCACCATCTTCCCCCTTACGCCTCTCTGGTTCTGAATCTACTACTTCTTCTTCTCTATCATAGCTAAAAACCCTAATTCTGTTTATGTATCGTAGCTTAAAACCTAATTGGATCCTGGCCCGTTATTTAGAGCCCTATTTGCTATCACGGCCCAATTTTTATAACATTATCTTATTCATAAAAATAAATAAATAATTACTTTAAAATTAGATTATTATATTTCGGGGCTCACATTTTTCTGTGCAATTATTAACAAAAAAAATTATAGGAGAAATATATGATTTTTAAAAATATTCCATTCATATGCACAATCATAATCATTAATGTTCATTTCATAAAATTATAACACGTAAAGTTAAAGACGGAATTTCATTTGATTAAATGATTTTATGCTTTTCTTTTTTCTTCTTCTTTAGGCGTTCTGCGAAAAAGTCACATCGAAAATCTTCTTTTTCTCATTCACTTGCTTAATGATCTCAAAAAACCAACCAACGTCTCTTCACTTACCACCCATTAAACCAAAAGACAGTTATTTCCTTGTCTCAAAATTAATTACATGATTTCTTATGTTGTTCAACCTTTTGATAATGTTTCATCCATTTTTTCAATGTTGGGAGCTACTGAAAAGTCTATTGTTGATGTTAATGGTGAGAAATTATATGATTTTGATACAATATGTGTTTCTTTTACTAAATTACATGTTTTGAAACAACCTAGTATTAATGTTGCTCCTTTTCCTTTGCCGAACGAAAATTTTGATAACGGTGATGATTGGAGTGGAATTGTTAGAGGGTTGACTATTAGATTGGGAATTTTAGGAATTTTGTTGATTTTGATTTTAGTTATTTGATTATACACAGAGATTGTGTTGAAGAAGAAAATAGAAGAAGGGATTTGTATTTTGGAGAGAAAGGGCAAAAGGGGGATGATTATAAGAAGAAGGGAATGAATGTGAATTTTATGGCTAATGTGTTTAATTCTTTGGATTTGATGAGTTGGTTGAAGCTACTGATGGGTTTGATAAGTATAGTGAGAACTTAGAAAGAAGAGGAAAGAGGAATTAAGTAGCAGAAAGAAGAAGAAAGAGGAATTAGGTTTAAGTGTGATTTTAATGGAAAAGCAAAAATATATAACTTGATAAAAATAAAATTTCATTTTATAAAGTCATTTAATCAAACGAAATTCCAATGTATCAAGTCAAATTTACAAAATTTGTTGTTATTTGTCCCTCCACATTAGCACCGGAGATGGACGGAATAGACCATAACTATGAACGAAAAATTTTAAAATGATTATTATTAATTTTGAAATAATTATTATTTATAAAAAAAAATTATAGAAACTAAAATTGAATAATTATTATTTATAAGAACTTTAAATATATTTAATCTTTATATTTATATTATAATAAATAATTATATATTATATCAAAATATATATGACTAGTGATTTGTTGAAAACCTTTTAAATATTTATTTTACATTTGTAATTATAATTTTTTAGAATAAAGAACTTATATTAATCCAAAAATCAATAATAGGGTACACGACGATCGCACGGATCTAGCCAACAAGAAAGTCAAAAGACACTAAATGATTTTTTAGACTAACAATCCTATCTTTTAAGGAATTATAATGTCAACCCCGAAATACAATAATATCAATAATAGATTTGATAACAAGACTCAAATCCAAGACGACCCCAAAGCACACACTGTTACGGTAATGCCAAGCCCCATAGATCGTTTCAGCAATGGTCAATCTAAGTAGACAAGACTTCCAACCTTTACCTTTACCACGTTTAATAAGCCACTCCAATTCCTCCTCCCACACCTTGGGCTGATGGTAAACCTGAAGCCACTCAAGGACCCTCACTCCAAATTTTCCTAATGTTGTCACATTCAAAGAAAAGGTGGGAAACGGTTTCAGCACTTGAGCAAAAACAACAGTTACGATCTGAAAGTATACCCAATCTGTAAAGTTTGCTCTTTGTTGCAAGCTTCTTATGACAAGCCAACCAAAAGATCACCAATGCTATAGGTATAGCTGGGTTATTCAGCATCAATTTATTCCACTGAACCCGCTGAGTATCAGAAAGGAACAAGTAGCACTGACGCATACTAAAATGACCCTTGGAAGACATGTCATTCCAAAGAAGAAGGTTAGGTTGAATGAGCGCCCTCTGGTCCTAGATTTTGCGCATAATCCAGAAACTAGAAGATTTAGCCTTAACCTCCATGATGTTTTGCTTCTTCAGATAGTATGAATGGACCCATTTCACCCATAGGCTGTCAGATTTATTATAAATATTCCAGAGCAACTTAAACATAGCACAGTTGTTCCAAATCTGCAGATCAATAACGCCTAAGCCACCATGCTTAATAGGCTTACACGCTTTAGCCCAAGCAACCAGATTTCTTCTACTCACGAAATCCTTACTAGACCAGATAAAGGACCGACAAATAAGGTCAATTTTCTTGAGGACTGCTTTAGTTAAAGGGAAGCACATTAGCCAGAAGTTTGCAATGGCAAAGGACATACTCTTAACCAGCTGAATCCACCGAGCATAACTGAGGAATCTAGCAGACCAGTGGCTAATCCTAGCAAGAATTTTATCAGTCAACATCAAATAGTGATTGCAGTTAAGCTTTTTGCAGGTCAGTGGAACCCCTATGTACCTGAAAGGAAGACTGCCTTCCTTGAAATTAGACCAAGATAGAATCTGACTTTTGGTGTTGGAATCAACAGATCCAAAATAGATCTTACTCTTGCTAGCATTTAATTTCATACCTGTGGAATTAGAGAATTTATAGAAAGAATTGATGAGAAGCTCAACAGAAAGACTATCCCCTCTAGCAAATAACATAGCATCATCTGCAAACATTAGATTTGTCAGTTGGAGATTAGCACATTTAGAGTGGTGATTAAAGTTTGGATTAAGTTGCATATTGGCTAGGCACCTATGGAGATATTCCATAATGAAGGAGAATAGAAAAAGGGGATATAGGGTCCCCTTGCCGGATCCCTATCTTGGCAACCAATAAATCAGAAACTGCGCCATTAACAGAAAACCTGTAAGAAGTGTTCGAAACAGCAGACATGACCCAATGAATAAACGTGTGAGGAATGCAAAGCTCCTGCATAATCAGCTCCAAGGCCTTCCAGCTCACCATGTCGTAAGCTTTCTGCATATCCAACTGAACCATAACTCTGGAAGGACCCTCTTTCCTACTGTACCCCTTCATGAGTTCATAAGCCAACAATATATGATGGTGAATTTGCTGCCCAGGGATAAAGGCAGCCTAATTACGGTTGATAATACTACCAATAACTTTACTCAACCTAGTAGTCAAAATCCTGGAAATAATTTTATAGACAGTAGTGCAAACTAAAATGGGCCTAAAGTCCTTGACAACAGAAGCAAAGTCAGATTTGGGAATAAGGGAAACCTGCGTACAGTTAAAAGCCTTGTATAGCTTACCACTAGCAAAGAAATCTCTGACAGCAACTCTAACATCATTTTTTACAATACTCCAACTAGCTTTGAAAAACTTAGCAGAGTAGCCATCTAAGCCAGGAGCAGCAATATACTTTATACCATTAAGAGCATCATAAATTTCAGCATCAGAAATTGGGGCCACCAGGGACTCTCTATAATCTTTCTAGAGCTGAGCTCCATTTCTCATCACCTTGATATCTATACAGTCCAGTTTATCATCTCTTGTACCCATGAGGGAGCCAAAGAAGTTAAGGATCTCCTCTTCAATTTGGTTTTGGCCAGTAATATAAGTCCCATCCTCTTTCTGCAACATAGTAAGAGCCTTAGATTTTTGCTTAGCTTTGATAGAAACATGAAAAAAAGCATTGCAACCATCCTCATCCTTAAGCCATTGAACCTTAGCTCTTTGCCTAAGGATGGACTCATCAATATCATTCCACTTCAGCAAATCATCAATGCACCTTTTAACCTGCAAGATTTTATCTTTATTCATTAGATCAACAACAAGCTCAGACTGAGCTTTAGACAGGCTATCTCTAGCTAACACAATCTGAAACTTAGAAGACATAAGGGTCTTGTTGAACTTGGACAATATTTGCCTTAATCTCTTCAGTTTATGCCACATAATGAAACTAGGGCTACCAGATAACGGGCTATTCCAACAATCTTTGACAACATCATTGTAACCAGCATAATCAACAACACAATTGAAAAATCTGAACCTTTTTTATCACTTTACTAGGGTACTTCTTGATTCCAGCAATGAAACAGTGACCGTAAGGCTTCTCGCGGGTGCCGTCGTCGAAGGTGTTGACGATAACAGCTTTCTTGCCGGCATAGCGACCTTGCAAGAGAATTACCGCCTTGTTAGTTTTCAGAAACTTCACCATCTTCCCCCCTTACGCCTCTGGTTTTGAATCTACTACTTCTTATCTCTATCATAGCTAAAAACACTAATTCTGTTTATATATCGTAGCTTAAAACCTAATTGGATCCAGGCCCGTTATTTAGAGCCCAATTTGCTATCACGACCCAATTTTTCTAACATTGTCTTATTCATAAAAATAAATAAATAATTACTTTACAATTAGATTATTATACTTCGGGGCTAGCATTTTTCTATGTAATTATTAACAAAAAAATTATAGGAAAAATATATGATTTTTAAAAATATTTAATTCATATGCACAATCATAATCATTAATGTTCATTTCATAAAATTATAACATGTGAAATTAAAGATGAAATTTCATTTGATTAAATGATTTTATACTTTTCTTTTTTCTTCTTCTTTCGGTGTTCTGCAAAAAGTCACACCGAAAATCTTCTTTTTCTCATTCAGTTGCTTAATGATCTCAAAAAACCAACCAACGTCTCTTCACTTACCACCCATTTAAACCATTATATGATTTTGATACAATATTTGTTCCTTTTAATAAATTACATGTTTTGAAACAACCTTGTTCCTTTTCCTTCGCCAAACGAAAATTTTGATAACGGTGATGATTGGAGTGGAATTATTAGAGGGTTGGCTATTAGATTGAGAATTTTAGGAATTTTGTTGATTTTGATTTTAGGTATTTGATTATACACAAAGATTGTGTTGAAGAAGAAAAACAGAAGAAGGGATTTGTATTTTGGAGAGAAAGGGCAAAAGGGGGATGATTATAAGAAGAAGGGAATGAATGTGAATTTTATGGCTAATGTGTTTAATTCTCTGGATTTGATGAGTTGGTTGAAGCTACTGATGGGTTTGATAAGCATAGTGAGAACTTAGAAAGAACAGGAAAGAGGAATTAAGTAGCAGAAACAAGAAGAAAGAGGAATTAGGTTTAAGTGTGACTTAAATGGAAAAGCAAAAATATATAACTTGATAAAAATAAAATTTCATTTAATCAAATGAAATTCCATTTAATCAAATGAAATTCCAACGTATCAAGTCAAATTTACAAAATTTGTTGTTATTTGTCCCTCCACATCAACACCGGAGATGGACGGAAAATTTTAAAATAATTATTATTAATTTTGAAATAATTATTAATTATAAATTTATTGAAGTAGATAAATGAAATAGCAGAGGTTCCATGTTTGCTTGTTGAAGACGTATAAAACATTTTGTTGATGATATTATTCTCCATTAAACCCAGAAACAGATTTAAAGGATAACACCACAAAGGAAGAACATATGTATTCACAAAGCAAATGAAGCAATGTTAAATCATAAATGTATTGAAGTGATGAATGTTTAGCAGTTGAATTTAACTTTAAACTAAGGAAAATGGTGCTGAAGCATCAGTCCCATGAAGATTAACAATTAGTAAATTTCTGCATTGCCAAGCTTTTGTTCAAGTTCCATTAGATAACAAATAAGATAAGAAAGCACTACAATAGTAGAGAGTAGCTCGCAATGGTTTTGTCCAGTAAATGTACAATGAAATCTGAAACAATAAACAAACCAGAGTAGTCAGCTAAATAACTTTTATAATTATGAAATATATGAACACTAAGTCACAGAATTAAAAAGAAGTCGTTATCATCTTGCAAGAATTTGGATATCGTTCACCGTCTTATTTCCCGTGATTCAAATATCTTTAACCGCCATATGAGATCCAGACGAAGCTTCAGAATCAGATGAACATGAAAAACGATTTCCACCACGAATATAACCACTTGTGGTTATGGCTGTGTTTGTAACAGTTTATGAAAATAGCTTTGATGTGTCCATACGTGTAATAAGTTGTGCATATAATGTTTTTTTGTGTGCATATAATGTTTATGTAAATGTGATAATGTGAAGTATGCATTTATTTATATGGTATCATATGTACCTTGAACCTTCTTTTGGATAAGCTGAAATTTCTCAGGGAATTTTGGGTCTCTGAAAATTTTCCAATCGTAGTCCATAACAGCATATATGGCTCACCAGCACCAACGATGCCATCTCTATAATAGTAGCTTCCACCAAAAGCCCACAAGCTCCAATCCAAGTCAACAGAAGAAGCATAAAAGACAAAGCATGGCAAGAATTAGTTATCCATGGAATTGACACCAGTCATGTCATATCCAAATTCACTTATGAATAAAGGTACTGGATTGTCACCACTAATGAAAAAATCTGCTTGGTCTTTTAAAATTTCAATGACAGAGGAACATACCCAATTCACTGGTAGAAAATTCCAACTATTCTGGTTTCCTGAAAAGGAATAAATGTGTGCCTCGTATACCAATTTGTTAGTGAAGTTTAGATCAAGGGTCCTCTTCTTCAAGAATGAAAGGTTATTGTCAAAGTTTAACCCTGAAATAACGATTAATAAATTTGGGTTGTGACGTTGTGTTTGTGAATTGGTTTTGCTCCTTGGCTTATGTACTTGTACCAATCAGGCAAATTTTGGCGTCCACCTCTTAGTTCATTCTGCAAGTCCATGGCTATCACCTGCATATAACAGGATGTAAAGAATAGGGATATGTTTACACATTCATCTCCAAAGATTGTGTTTGCGATATTTTGTTGATCTTACATTTATGATATCATATGCATCATTCCAGCAAACTATCATCAATCTATTGTCTTCTTGCAATTTCTGAAATTCCAAAAAAGATAAGACAGTGTAATTAGAATTCAGATGGAGTTCAATGTTGGCCAAATAAGTTTAAGAAATCAGGACAAGAAAAACCTCGATATTAACATGGTACTGATGTATAAGAGTGTTTATGCATAATTATTATAAAGGATGTTAACTCAGCTTCTGGATAAGAATATGGGATAAACAAAATTTCTACCTAAACCAACCTTTAGTATTACTGCTCAGGGCTTTCTTTGTTGCAGTATATCAAAACTAAAATAGCTATACCAGAAAACTATCTTCTCCAATCTCCTAAAAGAAAAATCAAACAAAAAATCCATTAAAGACCACTCAATATTTAAACAAAAATTTATCAAAACATGACAGTTGAAAAAAATTTAATTAATAAAACTTAAAATTTGTATTAGTTGCAGATTTCCACTAATCATATATATAAAGAAGAGGAGACAAGTTTACCATTTTTAGTGAACAAATCCTTGAGCAGAGCAATCGATCCCACTTTGACGCGACTCATCTCTTCGGTGAATCCGTTGAGGAAAATGAAATTGCCACCAAACAATTGGTGGAAAATGAAATCACAGAGGAACCTAGATCCAAGCCATTAAGAAGCTCCAACGTGCAATTTGATGATCCAAGCCATTGAGAAGCTCCAACGTGCAATTTGACGGCGTTGTGATTTTGTGAGAAATTTGTATATCTCAAGGGAAAAGAAGAAAGGGAGAAAGAACATAGAGAAGAAGCTATGGAAGCGGAGAGAGTGTTTTGAGGGGTTTAAGCTTTCCACCGAACGCGAGAGTTATTGAGAGAGAGAGAGAAGTTGTTGTTGCGGGGGCGACATTGATAAGGTTTAAGGGAAAAGGAAGAGAGGAGAAGAGAGAGAATGATGAAAGAGAAAAGATCTAAGAGTTGAGAGAGTGAGAAGAGAAGTGTATAGAAATTGGAAAGGTGACGATAGGTGGGAGTATTGAGTTTGATTGAAGTTGTATGAATTTCATTGGTTTATTAAGAGACAAAACTATCATTTTTGCTTTGAAAATCATTTGAAAGGGAGTTTGCTAGCCTTATATTTTAGTGGCTAGATAGTAAGTATCGTTTCAAAAATTTGAAAGAACTACAATGTTATTACATTGATTATATATGATATGTTGAATTAGTTACTTCTACTAACCAAATCTAACTGCCTTACAACTAACTAAGAGTTACAAAGTACACCATTAAGTAAAACTTACAAAACTAAAACTTATAAATTTGAAAAGGACAAGGATGTGACAAAAATATCCCAACTGTCAGACCAGTCCAAATCTTATGGAGAAAATCGATTTAACTAGATATTGGCGCCGAAAAAACTTGATTTCATATCCAAGTATAGAAAAAAATTAATATATATATTTTTAAATACATATTAAATAAAAAAGATTAACTAATTAGAATTATTATTAAAATGATTAAATATTTAATTTAATTATTAAATTAATCTATTTTATTCTTTAAAAATTACAATTTCAGAAAATAAAAATAATAGTAATAAAAATAATTTAATAATAAAACTGCGATACCTTATGAGAATAATTGTAAGTGTATGCTCTAGTGGAGTACTAAATCCACCGAACCGAGTACAATTGTAAGCAAGTTCAACAGGGATACTGAGTAATTTTAAAAGTATTTTGATAATTTCATTTTAGCCAACTTAATTTCATATTGTAGCCAAACATATTCTTAACTCCCGACATATATTAGTAGTTGAATATATTGTAGCCAAACATTTCCTTAGGAATTTGTTTGATGGGTTTCTTGCTTTTTTTTGACATCTATGTATAAAAATAATAAGAGCACTACTAACCATTTAACAGTAGTAACATTAGATTTACAATTTTCTCATGATTTCCTATCTACAACTACAACTTCAAATCAACTACGGTAATTATAGTCAAATTTCAAACGAAAAATCACAACTACATATTCTATACAAACTGAAATTGTACAAGAGTTCATTTTTATGTTTGGAAGATTTCTATATTTGAAATTGAAACACCTATAAGATTCCAAACAAATAATTAACCAAATTTTCAAAATGTAAACAATTGTTGATATAAGAGATAAATCAAAGATTCATATTATTAGTCCCTTCATTCTAGATTAGCAGAGAAAAACACAAAATCTCTTACATAATAATAAAAAATAAACCACACCAAAAACACAAAATCTCTTACATAATAATAAAAAATAAACCACACCACAGGTTCATAACCAAATATTCAAAACCTAAGCTTGGTGAAAAACCACCTGTTCTTCCCGGTTTTGAACCTCTCTTCAAACCGCTTCTTAGTCTCCTTCAACGCCGTCACCTTCTTATCCTTCGATTGAAGAACATCAGGAACAACGGCATCCTTCAGATCCACATCCAGAGTATAACGAGTAGGCATCAGATGTTGATAATTCACCAACTTCACAAACGCCTTAACCCTAGATTTCTTCGCCGTCTTCTTCGCCGAGTCCTTTTTTATCACTTTACTAGGATACTTCTTGATTCCAGCAACGAGACAGTGACCGTAAGGCTTCTCGCGGGTGCCGTCGTCGAAGGTTTTCACTATAACGGCTTTTTTGCCGGCATAGCGCCCTTGCAAGAGAATCACCGCCTTGTTAGTTTTGAGAAACTTCACCATCTTCCCCCTTACGCCTCTCTGGTTCTGAATCTACTACTTCTTCTTCTCTCTATCATAGCCAAAAACCCTAATTCTGTTTATATATCGTAGCTTAAAACCTAATTTGATCCTGGCCCGTTATTAGAGCCCAATTTGCTATCACGGCCCAATTTTTATAACATTATCTTATTCATAAAAATAAATAAATAATTACTTTAAAATTAGATTATTATACTTCGGAGCTCACATTTTTCTGTGTAATTATTAACAAAAAAAAATTATAGGAAAAATATATGATTTTTAAAAATATTCAATTCATATGCACAATCATAATCATTAATGTTCATTTCATAAAATTATAACATGTAAAGTTAAAGACGGAATTTCGTTTGATTAAATGATTTTATACTTTTCTTTTTTCTTCTTCTTTCGGCTATCTGCGAAAAAGTCACACCGAAAATCTTCTTTTTCTCATTCACTTGCTTAATGATCTCAAAAAACCAACCAACGCCTCTTCACTTACCACCCATTTAAACCATTAAACCAAAAGAAAGTTATTTCCTTGTCTCAAAAAATTAACTACATGATTTCTTATGTTGTTCAGCCTTTTGATAATGTTTCATCCATTTTTTCAATGTTGGGAGCTACTAAAAAGTCTATTATTGGTGTTAATGGTGAGAAATTATATGATTTTGATACAATATTTGCTCCTTTTACTAAATTACATGTTATGAAATAACCTAGTATTAATGTTGTTCCTTTTCCTTCGCTGAACAAATTTTTTGATAACTGTGATGATTGGAGTGAAATTGTTAGAGGGTTGGCTATTAGATTGGGAGTTTTAGGAATTTTGTTGATTTTGATTATACACAGATATTGTGTTGAAGAAGAAAAACAGAAGAAGGGATTTGTATTTTGGAGAGAAAGTGCAAAAGGGGGATGATTATAAGAAGAAGGGAATGAATGTGAATTTTATGACTAATGTGTTTAATTCTTTGGATTTGATGAGGTGGTTGAAGTTACCGATGGATTTTATAAGTATAGTGAGAACTTAGAAAGAAGAGGAAAGAGGAATTAAGTAGTAGCATAAACAAGAAGAAAGAGGAATTAAGTTTAAGTGTGATTTAAATGGAAAAGCAAAAATATATAATTTGATAAAAATAAATTTTCATTTTATAAAATCATTTAATCAAACGAAATTTCAACGTATCAAGTCAAATTTATAAAATTTGTTGTTATTTGTCCCTCCACGTCAGCACGGAGATGGACGGAATAGACCAAAACTATGGACAGAAAATTTTAAAATGATTATTATTAACTTTGAAATAATAATTATTTATAAAAAATTATAGAAATTAAAATTAAATAATTATTAATTATAAAAATTTCAAATATATTTAACCTTTATATTTATATTATAATAAATAATTATATATTATATCAAAATATATATAACCAAACCTTTTAATTATTTATTTTACATTTGTAATTGTGATTTCAAAACTATAATTAATAACAATGAGTCATTTTGGTATTTATGATGTATTGGTGTTTTTAATAAAAAAATAGATAAGTTTAAAATTGAATAAATTAGTATAAAAGTAATATCTTTGGAGTTAATATTAGTGATATGATGTTATCTATGTCATTATAAACGTGAGGAATAGAGTCTCGAAATGGACCGACAAGTTTCTTTCTATCGGTGGAAGAGTGGTGTTTATAAATTCGATTCTGAATTCTATCTAGCTTTACTCGTTATCCTTTTTTAGAGCTCCAAAGAAAGTGATACAAGAGATTCGGAGTATACAAAGTAGGTTTGTTTGGAGGGGAGTAGAAGGTAAAAGAGGAGTTCATTGGATTAGTTGAAGGGAGGTTTGCAAAGATAAGGATAAACGAGGGTTTGGTATTAGGGGTGTAGAGTGTTTCAATATTGCCCTTTTAATGAAATGGAAGTGGCAAATTTTAAGCGAGGAGGACACTATTTGGAGAAGTTTGTTGAATTATAGGTACACAAATTTGAGGGTGAAGATGTTTGTTAATGATAGGAGGGTATTAACGAATAACGACTCTATTTGGTAGCGGGACCTTATTTTAATCAAAGATCGTGTTGGATCCAGATCTATTTTCTTGCAGGTTTAAAAACGGCGAGTTCACATTTTTTTGTTCAACAGATGGCTTGGAAATCAACCCCTATCGGAGGCCTACTCGGAGCTTTATGAAACAGCGGTGCAACCGTTTATGACAGTGGACGAAGAATGGAATTGGAACTTAGAAATGGTGGCGGAAAACACTGCTGCAGAAGCAGGCGGCCTATTGTCTGAACTAGGCAGCCTCTTAGCAAGGAGGGGCGGACAAATTCTGTTGGGACAGAATCGCGGATAATTTTTTTTGTTAAAAACTGTGTGGAACAGTTTAGGATTCGTGAGGCCAGTACTTTGTTAAACTATAGGTTAAAGGAAGCTTTGAGTTTTTTATGGAAATTGCTCAAGGCTTTTGGGTGGAGAATGTTGTTGAATAAACTTTCTACTATAGATCTTATAGTTGAGTTTTTGTGCGATAGAAGATGATTCTTCTAGTCATTTGTTTGAGAAGTGCAATGTCACTAGAAGAATTTGGATCGACTGTTTGAGGGAAATAACGGGGAAGAGTTAAGACTTTTTTTTCTAATAGTCACAAAATCAAAAACATAGATGAGAGGGTAACACTAAGAGTGATTTGGTTAGCGGTTGTGTGGAATCTTTAGTTGACGATGGTTAGCGGTTGTGTGGAACCTTTAGTTGACGAGGAATGCGATTATCTTCAACGGTAAATCGTTTATATTTAATGATTGTATAACCACTATCATTTTTAATTCTTGGAGGTGGTTTAGTATTGTTAATAACTCCTCTATTTTGTTTAATTTTTATTTTTGGAACAATATGCCTCTTAGCTGCATAATGAAGTAAGGGTGTGTCTTTTTAGTGGCTCTAAATTGGCTCTTAGCTGCATAATGAAGTAAGGGCGTGTCTTTTTAGTGGCTCTAAATTGGCTCTTAGCTGCATAATGAAGTAAGGGTGTGTCTTTTTAGTGGCTCTAAATTGGAGTACTTGTAAAATTTGAAATTTGAGGTTTAATCAATGTTTCATTATTGAAAAAAAATAATAAAAGATTATGAGAAAGTTTCAATTTTATCAACAATGTAATAAAATTTGGGACAAATATTTTCAAGTCATGTCACTAGGAGAAAGCTTTTGTATTTCACTAAAAGATTCAAAACAAATTGAATCGATGAAAGCAATAATGTTTGAGGTTTATTGGAAGATAGACTCTTTCCTACGGTGTGTTGCTTTACTTGTGTGTGTTTGCATTGTATACTTTAATGTAGGGGTGGATAATCGGAGACCATCCGACACAACCCGACCGAACAGAAGAATGTGGTGGTTTACGGGTCGGTTTACTTCGGGTTACGGGTTTTCACGGGCCAGTTAAATGAGTATTAATTGGTGTGAATGGTCGAGTTGGATGGTAAATATTTGACCCGGCAGAATGCGGACATGTCCAAATATATTGTTAATATTCTTTTATTATTATTAACTTCAGATCTGGGTTGGGCTTAACACTAAAACCAAATTGCTGTGATAAGATCTCATTCAGTTATTGCAGTGATAAACAACAATCTGTCAATGTTATTCCTCCATGATAACTCCTAAGTACCTAAAAGTAATCTTAACATTTTTTTACTTCCTGAAAGGTTTCAGCATATTTCATCAATTTATCTAAAGAAATGTGAACATCAATTTATGTATAAACAATTCTTGGAGGATAATAGGTAGGTCAGTTACATACTTTTCAAGGCCCTTTTGTATCATAGGTCACATTCAATAACGCCATATCTCCTACTTCCATTGCTAATAAAGTTTACAAATAAAGTCAAAGAAGAAAAAGTAAAATTAAGTTTACAAATAAATGTGTATCTACTACTTAATCCAACTTGCTTCTTCCATTTCCAAAGTTGTTGATGCATACATCTCAGCAGGAATAACTGCATCTTTATAAGATACTTAAAATTAAGGCGGCTTTACAAGAAGAAACTTGTGCATCAAATAGTGAAGGCAACCAAACTGTAGAAACTCAACCAGCCATGTGTTTCTCCAACAAACTGTAGAAACTCAACCAGCCATGTGTTTCTCCAACAAATCACTTTTATGTTGTAGCAAATATAATCAGGTTACCCGTGTACAATCATCAACAAAACTAATAAATCATTTTTTTCTATTATGTGTAGATTGTGGAGCAGGACCCCAAACATCAGTGTGTACTAAAGAGAAAGGAAAGTCTGTTTTCTTATTACTCAAGGGAAAAATAGCACGATGACTTTTTGCCATAACACAAGTTTCACAAAGAAAATCTGAAATATTGCATTTATGAAATAACGATGGAAACAATTTTTTTAGATAACTAAAAGAGGGATGCCCCAATCGTCTATGCCATAGCCAAATATTTTTTTTTATTTTGATCTTGTATGTGATCACTTGCAAGATGAACCAATGCTCCTTTATGGATTTGTGAAACTTTTTCAAGATAATACAACCCTTCATTATATCTACCACTGCCAATCTTCTCCTTGGTATGTATATCCTGAAAAACACAGTGGGTTGGATAAAACACAGCGACACATGAATGTGGTTTTGTTAATTTACTGACAGAGATAAGATTGCAATTCAAGGTAGAAACAAATAAGACATTAGGTATTGATAGGGAGGGTGATAGAGTCATTGTACCAACACCTTCAATGGGAGATTCCACTCCATTGGCAGTAATAATAACAGTTTTATGACAATTAGGAGAGAAATTAGTAAACATGTGTTGATCACAAGTCATATGATCAGTAGCACCTGTATCGATTATCCAATCGTTATTTCTAATAATAACAGAAGGATTATGAGCAGAGTTAGACATACCTGACTTGGTTACGAAGCCGACAGCAGTAGAAAGATGAGCCTTGCTGTTTTCTGTCTTATTATTCGAAGTAGTTTTTCCCTTTGGATGCCACTCCGGGTAGCCATGAAGCTTAAAACATGTCTCCATGACATGATTATCTCCATTACAGTGATTACACTTGCGGATTTCTTTCTTCGGATACTTCTTGACAGCTAAGGCGGAACCATTCGAAGACTCACCGCTTAGCATAGCTTCTTGGCGATTCGCCTCTGCACATACAATTGCATAGACTGATTGAACATTAGGAAGCAGAGTGGTACCCAGAACACGACCACGAACTCCATCCAAATGTGAATCCAAACCAGCCAATAAAACATAAACTCGTTTAGAATTAACCATCTTATTGTATTTCTCAACATCTTTAGTGCATTCCATGGTACAATTATTAATACTATCGTACTCTTGCTATAGCCTCTGCAATTTTCCAAAGTATGTAATAACAGATCCACCATTTTGTTGAGTAGAGATTACCTCACGATGCAATTGATAAGCTCTTGATGCATCTTGGTCGACGGAGTACGTTTGTTTCGCAGTTTCCCAAATTTCCTTCGTCGTAGCTAAGCGAATGAACATAGATCTGATTTCTTTGGTCATGGAGTCAAGAAGCCAATACTTGACCAAACAATTTTCATCTTCCCATGCTTCATATTTATCGGGTTTATCTTTTGTTGGTGCAGTCTTTGTTCCAGTAACGTAACCCCATCGTTTTCTGCCTCTGATTTTGTTCTGTGCATTCAACGACCATTTAACGTAGTTAGTGCCGTCAAGCTGTTCTGGGGTGAGTGCATCGTTGAATTGGACAGCAGCGGAAGTTCCAGAATTCTCCGATTTATTTTTATCAGAAGCCATCAGAAATTACTAGGAAATAAAAAAACCCTATATTGAAAGAGAGACGGTGTTGACTCTAGATACCATATAGAACATTTCAAAGTAATAATTCTGATGATTTTATTTCATTGATCAAGGTAATATATATACATAAAAGAGTCCCTATAATTCCTCTTCTATTAAGGGAATGAAATAAATTATTTGCAGCACAAATATTTTTCTACTTAATTTAGCTAAAATATCGTTGACTTATCTTAACACAATATACAACAACGCAAGATATAATAAAATGTTTCAAGAACGCGCCTTTTATTGAAATTAATCGTGGAGCTAAAACAAATTACGAAGTTCATCTAGTTTATGAAACTATGAAAAAGAAATACAATGTGGATGGAGGTTATACAAAAGCTTCATACTTCTTGTATTTTTTTGTAGCCACGCAAACCATATGCATCATAGTCAAAGTATGCACTTGTTAAGGTGGTGAAGATGAATCTGGAAAAAAATGAGAACATTCATCAAATGAAAAAATGAGAACTTATTTTTAGAGAGAGAAGAGTAAAATATGTTAGAGTTTTATTTAGAGAGTAATGACTATTATATATCGGGTGATAGATATTTTCAGTTATATATTAAAAAAATATCACTTTTCATCACGGTTGACAAGAAGAACTGTGATGCGATGATTGGACTATACACCACTGTTGAAAAGAATAAGCGTAATCATATACAAGGAGCTGTAAAAATGAAGGAATTGAGATTCGAACCATGTAACTCCTGGTATATATCACTACGAACTTTAACATAGGCCTTAGTGAAGTACCTGTTAGTAAACACAAAAAAAACGCCCAAAATCGTGTTTCCACCACGGTTAAAGTAAGGTCGTTGTAACATTATTGGACAATAAATGTTTTCTATAATAGTGTTAGATGCTTAACAATTTATAACTCTTTTAGTGACACATTGATTGATATATCAGATTTATGTATGGATTCTATAGTGATTCATCGTGAGTCAATAGTATAAGATTTTTCTGAAAGTTCATTTGAAGGTCAAGAAATGTTTGCTTCGTTGTTATTGTTCTTGTTTATGTTAGATACAAGGATAGGTATATGTCAATTTGGTTAATACATTTACGTTCCTTTTCCTTCTATGACTTGAATGTTTGCAAATACTAGATAGCATAATCAATCAAGTTTATGACTAACTTTTTGTTACAAATTTTTGCTACAGGGGTTGTGGATTTTCTTTGTGGAAATGGATAACTGAATTGGGACTAACAATAATTCCTCCATATTCTTGGATAAAACTTGGTTGTAATTTTGTCAGTGTTATAATACTGCATTTATAAATTTGGTTTTATGGGGATGTATTATTATGTTGGTTATGTAATGGTAACCCATTTGTTTAATGTTACTACATTTTATTTGACTTGAAAATTTGGAATTTATGGAATGCTTGGAAGGATACATTTTAGATTAATTTTATTTACGGTTAGAAACTCATATAGTCATATCTCCCAATTTTGTAGGTATTTAATTTATCTAATTAATTATTTTATTAATGTTAAAAAT